TGCTTTGCCTTAGGCAAGACACAATCTCTCTGAACTTCAGTTCCCTATCTATAAAATGAGGGGGTTGGATGTTATGATTTCTATGAATATGCCCAGCAGAGATCCTCATGCCAAACAACATCCTGTACGGTCTTTGACCTGCCTCCAACTGGCAAACAGGCTCTCCTCCCCCATCACAGAGCTAAAGGTTTGCCCCTGTTAAACCACAGCTTTCTCATCACACCCCTAACAACTGGAATTGGGTATCACACCTCTCAGAAGCTATGTCTACGATGAATCAGCACCACCCTAGGAAGGCAGAAGACACTGGTCCAGTGGTTTTTGGGAACTAGACTCCAGCAAGACTTATTGGACAAAGACTGCTTTTGGACCGTTCTCATTGACCCTCTCCAAACCTTACTTAATCCATTTCTGCCACAGAGTTACCCAAGTCTTGAGGTCCCAATCCCCTCAGAGAGTGCCATACACTCTGGGGAAATGACCCAGAAATGAACCTTTCTTTGGGTTGGTCTCCTTTCTCTGAGGATGATTTAGACAACTCCTTTCCACAAACAGACTGGGGACCAGGGATGGTATTGTTGGAAAGTACCTGGCTCTAATCATCTGAGGGAGGTCTCTGTATAACTATTATGAACCAATAAGCATTTATTGTGTGTCTACTGTGTGCCAGAAGCTTATAACAAAAAAGACAAAATAAGTCCTAGACTTCAAGAAGCTTACAATCTAACGTAGGAGATAGCATGCAAACAATTATGTACAAACAAGATGTGTTCAGGATAAATTGTAGAAAATTAACAGAGGGAAGACACTAGTTTTAGGAGGAATAAGGAAAAACCTTTCACTTAAAGTGGGATTTTGGCTGGGACTTGAACAAAGCCAGGAGGTAAAGACAAAGAAAGAGAGAATTCCAGAAATGGAAGACAGCCAATGAAAATGAACAAAACAAAACAAAACAAAAAAAAAAGGATCCTGGCTGACTCAGTAGCAACCCTGAATCCTTAGATGACAGTAAGAGTTCCTATCCAGACCTTATGGGAAAAGGGGGCAGCCTCTCAGCAAAGGGCTCTAAATGGACAAAGATTTGGTATTACCGCTCCCCCCCCCAAAATATATGAAGCTCCCAGGAATGAGGAGGTCCTGGCTGGTGGACATGGGAACACGGAGAGGATGCAGGTATATGATGAGTCTTGACATAGACCGTGGCCCAAGGACAGGCTGCATTCCAGAAATTAATAGGTTAACTATACCTGCCTGCAGTATTCCCTGGCTCTCCTAGGCTAGACCTTTCAAAAAAGGAAATGAAGTTAATCTGGCATGACCTTGATGAAGCCACTGCTATTGATTCTGTTTTTGTGATCAGCTCCCCTATAGATCTACTTACTATCCTGGTGACTACAAATGAAAACAACTCTCCATAGCCATGACTCCCTTATGTGTTTTCTCTCCTTACTGGAATGTGAGCTTGTTGAGGAAGGAATCATCTCATTTTTGTATTTGGATACTCAGCATTTAATCACAGTGCTTGGCACATAGTAAGTGCTTAATGGATTAGTTTTCATTTATCAACAATTCCTTTACTGTTCATGCAGTGAGTGGATAGAGTGTTGGGCCTGAATCAGAAAGACCAGAGTTCAAATCTGGCTTCCAACACTAACTAGCTGTGTGACCCTGGGCAAGTCACTGAACTTCTGTCTGCCTCAGTTTCCTCAACTGTAAAATGGGGACAATAGCATCTACCTCCCAGAGTTATTGTGAGGATCAAATGAGGTAATATTTGTAAAGTTCTTAGCACAGTACCTGGCACGAAACAGGTGCTATATAAATGCTTATTCTCTCATCCTCTCCTCTCCAAAGTGAATCTGGATCCCCTGAGCCCTACTTTAGTGTTCTTGCCTACTCTAGTGTTCTTGCAAGTTGACTCACTTAATTCTGTCTCCCATAGCTCCACTATTCATCTACCCACATATCCTGAATACCATGCTTTCCCTACATAGGATTCAATGATAAGAGGGAAGAAAAATTCTAAAAGGAAAAACAAAAACAAAGGAATTCTTTGAACAATAGATATACCAAATGTAAAGTTGGAAAAACTTTAGGAGCCCATATATTGTGCTATACTAGAGGACTAAATGGATTAAATCCCCACAAGTAATCAGCTAGGAATTATTCACTAATGGACAGGAGACTTGGTGTAATACAGAAGGAAAAGTTTCTCACACACTGTCTACTCTCATCTTTGACTTAATCTGCCTCATTCCATACACATACACACCCCTCAGATTACTCACTTCCCCCCCTGCATCCATTGGGAACCGATTCAGGAAAAGAGCACAAACAAACGGGAGTCAGGAGCCCTGATTTTTTTGTCTCATCTATGCCAATAACTTGCTGTGTGACCTTGAGCTAGTCACATTTCTCTGGACCTCAACTTCCTTACCTCTAAAACAAACAAATTGGATGAGATGATATTTAGGTCCCTTTTCCAGCTCAAAAATTAATATTAGTTTGTGACATCTGGCTCAAGATCAGGCTGGAATAGACTCCAGGTCACTGCTGATAATCGTAGTTACCTGTAAAATTAACTTCGAACTTTCAGCAAAGCCTCTGAGGCAAATGGTGCTAACCCTCTATCATTACCCAACCCAGGTCCCTTTTAGTTTCTCTCTTACAAATCCAATTCCACCCCTTCCTTCTACCTTTTCCTCTCTTATTATTCTTTTTCCTTGCCTATGCTTATTCCCTTTGCCTAGGCTTTCTGGTGTCATTTGCTTAGCCACTCCATGGGCACTGATGGCTAAAAAGTCTGTAAATTCACTCTAAACATCCATTCCCATCCTCCTAGAACAACAGTATCCAAAGCAGAGGCTGGGTCCTGACTTCAAAAACTATGGGATCAATTAATCAGAGGGGTTGATCACATTCCACACTCCTCCCAGAGTAAATTATGAGGCTTATTTCCAACACAATCGCATCTACCGCTACCCCAACACACTCCTATCTGCCCCCTCACTCTCCTCCAACTTCCCCAATTCTGAGTCCAGCACAGGTCCCTCTGGAAGTTATCATCTAACCACCCAGTACCCATAGCAGCAAGTATTTAGGTGCTACTGGAAAGTTCTCACCATCACCCCACCCCACCAGTCTACCTATCCCCTGTCCCGAAGATCATTTCATGGCCTGGGCAGGCATTGCTGGAGAAGGACAACGCCATCCTTTCAAGTTACCTCGGTGTCATGTTCCAATCTTCACTCTCCCTCACTCTACATAACTTATCAGTTGATAAGTCTTGTCATTTCTTCCTCTACATTTCTCTTAATGAAACTACCAGCTTAGTTCAAGCACTCTTCACCTCCAGACTGGATTATTGAAATAATTTCCTAGTTGATCTCTCCCCACTGAGTCTATCTTCCACACAGTTGCCCAATAATTTTCCTCAACTCACTAAGTTCCAGCGGCTCCCTAATGACTCTGGGACTATATGTTATTTCGTCTTTATCTTGCCCTTTAAAAATTTATATTTTTATGCAAGTTTGATAATGTACATAATTTTTAGTACAGCAGTACATGCATATAATTTATAAATAAACATACACATATTGGCAGTGTATGCATAATTTTTTTTTCTATGGATAGCAGTCTGTAATCCAAAAAGTCTAGAGACCACTGTCCTAGAGAATCAATATCTTAATTTTTTTTTTCCTGAAAGGGATGTCCAAGCCAAAAAGACTAGACTCCTGTCTTGAAGAACCAATATCTTAATTTTTTTTTTCTGGAAGGGGTATGCAATTAAAAAAAAAAAATCTAGAGATCACTGTCCTAAAGAACCAATCCCTTCAGGATAAGGGGAACATACAACTCTCAACCTCAACTGTAAGTTCAAGAGACAGGTGTGAGACCTTGCTTGCTTTCTAATTAAAATTTCTAATTAAAAATATCAAACTCTACTATTTGGAGATGCAAACAAGTAGGAAACAGCATCTTAAATAAAGGCATAAGAGTCCAGATGTACTGTATGCAAAGCAATGTAGGGACAGGCACTAGCCACCCCCAAATTTCCTCTTTGTCCCTGTCACTGGGATACTACTCAGAAGAGATGCTGGCTAAGCTGCTGACTGAGAATGGGGCTGGCTATTCCATGAGGTCTATTTTCAGCGGTTTCAATCCACACCCTGGACTACACAGGTTCAAGTGACTGCTCCAGCCCCATACTAGTGCCCCTCAAAAGAAGCGGGAGTGTAGGGTGAGGCTGTGTGTGAAGGACTGTAATACCAGGCAGGTGGTGTTGCTGAAAAAGCCCCAGTCCAGGGCTCGGAGGCAGCCAGGTCGGAGTCCAGCCCCTCCGCTTAATGAGCTAGTGACCTTGGGCAGATCACCTCCCGGGCAAGCGGCTTCCTCATCTGGCCTGGGTGATCTGTGAAAGAGCCCTTATCCACTGCCAACCTTATCAAGAGCTGGGCCGATCCACTGATTGATCCAGTAGCTCTACTGACTGTCAATTAGGAGTAGGACTCTTTAAAAAAAAAAAAAACAAAAGAATTTCTACAAGGGGACAAATGAATTTTCATGTTAGATTCCAAAGAATCTCGGTAACGGAGATTTTTAAAAATAAAAAAACGCTCTGGAAGAAAAGGGCCCAAGCGATAGGGGGCGGGGGTGGGGAGGGAGGGCGAGGCGGCCCAGGGGCGTTACACAGGGAGCAGCCCCCCACCTTTAATCCTCTCTCTCCAGGGAGTAGCTGTGACGGGCGGGCGGGTCGGCCTCGCCAGGCTGCGGCCAGCAGAGGCCAGGGGCTCCTCCACCAAGGGCGGACACAAGGCTACCAGCAGATCCACCTCCACGAGGGGAAAGGGAAGGAGTTCCCCTGACGGAGGCCCCCGGCCCGGCGAGGAACAGGCAGGGGGTGCGGGGTCGGGCGGGGGGGGACCCCCCGCGGCGTGGCGGGGAGCATGAGGCTGCACCGCCCCTCCCCCCCACCCCCCATCCCAGCTTCCGCCAAGTACCTGAGGGTCCCCTGAAAAGGTTGATCTCTTCTTCCGTGACCAGATAATCCACTCTTCCGTTCATGCTTTACCCAGGGCCCAGGGTTTTCCACCCCCCGACCGGATTCACCCCCCCGTCGTGTCCACAGTACTGAAGGTGAAAAAAAAAAAGGCCCGCTGCAGCAGCAGCACTTTCAGTTTCATCAGCCGCCCCACACAGGAAGGGGAGGAAGGGAAGCGCGGGGAATTCTGGGGAATGTAGTTCCCGGGCTCGTCCTCCTCCTCCTCCTCCTAGACATTGCACTGTGGTCGGTTTGTTTGGGCGGATTTTGTTTAAGTGAGGGAGAGGATGCACCAGGTGCTAACAGCACCCTTTCTATTTCTGGGACCCTATATACTTATGGCTCATTTGGTCCTCACAATAACACTGGGGGATTTTGTAGGAGGGGAAACTGAGGCACAGCCCGTTAGTAACAACAATAATGATAACTAACATTTATGTAGCAACAGCACCCCTTATATTTCTGTGACCCTGTATACCTGTGGCTCACTTGATCCTCAATAACACATCGGGGAATTGATTCCCCAATAACACTGGGGAATTTTGTAGGGGGAAACTGAGGCAGAGCCAGTTAATTGTTTAATAATAACAATAATGATAGGTAACATTTACGTATTTCCCACCATGTGCCAAGAACTGTGCTAAAGGCTTTACAATTATCATCTTATTTGATCCTCACAATAACCCTAGGAGGTAGGTGCTATTATTATCTCCATTTTACATATGAGGAAATTGAGGCAAAAAAAAAGTTAAGTGACTAGCCCAGGGTCACACCCTTAGTGTCTGAGACCAAATTTGAACTCAGGTCTTCTTGATTTTGACCAAGTGGACAAGATAACCTATACTGCCACATAACTCAGTACTGCAGTGGAGGTGACTCTGGATTAATCACTAAGGGCCTCAGTTTCCTTATATGTAAAAAAAAGGATGCCTGCTACTTAACAGAGTTGTATGAGGCCCAAATGAGACAAGCTATGTAATCCATTAGACTGTAAACTCCTTGGTGGCTGAGACTGTCTTTTGCTTTTTTTTTTTTTGTATCCCCAGTGCTTGGCACTTAATAAATGTTTATTGATTGAAATGTTTATTAAGGGTAAGGGGAAAGGGAATAAGTATTTATACAGTGTCAGATACTTTACAAATAAATCATTTCATCTTCACAACCACACTAGAAAATAAGCTAACCCATTTTACAGGTGAGGAAACTGAAGCAAAAAGATTAAGTGACTTGCTCAGGGACACATGCCTAGTTAGTGTCTGAGATGACCATATTTAAACTCTGATCTTCCTGACTCCAGGCCCCAGTGTGGGTTAAAAACCTTAAAGCTCAATACAAATGTTAGCTATTCACATAGTAGGCACCTAGTCCTTGTTTTCTGAATTTGTTTAAATTAAATGTTTAATTATTTAAACAATTAAATGTTTATTGATATCTTTTATTTTTACATCACCTTTATTACCCAATAGATCCTCCCTCCACCTCCCAGACAGCCATCCTTTATAACAAAAAAAAAAAAAAAAGAAAGAAAAAATAGTTCAGGAAAACTAACCAACATATCAAACAAGTTCAATATTACATGTAATGTTTGACACCCGTCGTCCCCCACCTCGGGGGGGAAAAATACTGGGAGGGAGGGAAGTACATCCTCATATCTTTTCTTTGGAGTCGTTTGGTTATTATAATTTCACAGCATTCAGTGTCATTTTTTTTTTAAATAGATGCTTGTTGACTGATATGTCATCCTAGAAAGCTATGCCAGCAGGACACCCACCTGGAAAGCCAAGCTGGAAAGGCTTTAAATATGGGTCTGTGACAACCTGTGTCTGTTGACTTAGGACCAGCTTAGATAAATTTAGAGAGGCTTATGCCTAGAAAATTGACCACCAGCTGATTAATTGTTTGGCCAAAGCAGCTCATGTAACCATCTGCTAAGGAGCCTATGGTTGAGCTCAAAGTGAAGGGATTACCCAGAGGAGTGGAATCAAAGATCCTTAAGAATTAGTAACAAAGCCAGGTCAATGACCCAGACAGTCAGAACACTGCCCCTTTAGCCAAGTAAAGGAAGCTTAACATAATGGATAGGGTCTTCTGATTTCTAATCTAGTGGCGGCTTTGATTTCTGCTTCAAATACTGCTTCTGCTACTTAACACCTTAGTGACCCCCAATGATGGGGTATGGCCCAAGCTGAGACCTTTGCCCCTTACCCAAAAAAGAATTTGGGTCCCATTTGTCTAAGGGATTCTCCTTGAATTCTCTCCCTTGATCAAGAAGGTCTCTGGCGGTCCCCTGATGCCATAATTCCATCAACTGGCCTTTCATTGTGGCTATGCCCAATCTCCCAATTCTCTGTTACCCATAACCTAGCCTAGCACTCCATTTCCTGTCTTTGTGCATTTGTACTAACTGAAATGCAATAAGAAATATTAAAACAAAGTTGAAATATTAAAAAATCAAAGAAAATGTAAGGTATCTCCAAACTAAAGTAACTGACTTGGAAAGCAGACCACGGAGGGACAATTTAAGAAACACTGGACAACCTGAAAGCCATGAACAAAAAAAAAGAGAGAGGGAGGGAGGGATGGGAGGAGAGGTTAGGGAGGGAGAAAGAAAAAGAAGAGAGAAAGAGAGATTGTATATCACATTTCAAGAAATCATAAATGAAAACTGCCCAACTATCTTAGAATCAGAGGGCAAAGTAAAAATAGAATGTACTGATCACCTCCTGAAAGAAACCACAAAATGAAAATTCTCCAGAATATCATAGCCAAAATCCAGAGCTTCCAGGTTAAAGAAAAAAAAAAAAATCAGGCAAGTTGCCAGAAAGAGTTTAAGTAATGAGGAACTTCAATTAGGATCATACAAGGTTTAGCAACTATTCTATAAAGAATTGTAGAATATGGAATCTGATATTCTAAAAGGCAAAAGACATAGGCTTACAACCAAGAATATTTTACTTAGCAAAACTGAGTATAACCCTACGGGGGGGGGGGGGGGGGGGAAATGGACCGTTATTTAAAAGCCTATGCTATTATGCTGCTGCTATTTATTTATGCTATGCTACTGGCTATTTTGTAGGATACTTCCAAGCATTCCTAATGAAAAGACTAGAGCTTAGTAGAAATTTTGAGATGCAAACACAAGAGGAAAGAGAAATATAAAAAGGTGAATACAAGCAAGCAATTGGAAAAGACTTTATAAAGAGGAAGTGTTTACATTCTAATGGGGAGGGGGGAGAGGATGATATAAGCATCCCCTAAGAACCATAATGTCAACAACGGTCATAAAGGGGATCAAATAAGATGGAGTGCCTAGGAGAGATTTTTGTTTTGTCTTGACAATCTTAAAAAGAGAAATTAAAGGGAAAAGAGGAAAGGAACATGGCAGATGGGGGTTTATCTCACATAACTGAAGTGCCAAAGTTGAAGCTTATAGAAACAAGGCAAGAGAGAAGACATCACTTGAACACTGCTATGAAGAGCTAAGTGAGCAGAACCAGGAAAACAATTAACATTCTAATTAACATTATAAAAACAATTTTGAAAGACTTAGGAACTCTTATCAATGATTTCACTGACCTACCAATTCCAGAGGAATTAGAATGTTGCCCACCTCCTAACAGGGAAATGTTGTAGAGAATTTACGGGGTTAAAACCACACTTATTCCATCAGTTCTAGAGCTAGCTCAGTTCCCTTTCTATTCAATTATGGGCCTAGTCCAATTTATGTCTTGTGAGAAAACTTTACTCACTGTGGTATTTGTGAGAGGACTTTGTTGCATTGCTTGAACCTAGCCCACAATTTCTGGGAAGCTGGACAACCTCTACGTGCTACTAAGAGACCCTCAACTAAGGACATAGGTTACACTGACCAGAAACCTGGTCAGATCCAAAGATTGATGCGAGGAGTTTTTTCACAATTATACATCTCAAGCAACTAATAAGTCTTATTTGAAAATTGGATCTGTATTGATCAATTAGTTGTTTCCATGTTCCTTTGATTGTTTATAGACAGCTTGGGAAGACTGCGATGCTTTTTCTGATTTCTTCTCCCAATTAAGAAAGTCCCTAATCTTTCCTCCAATTAAAAATCAGATTACCTAATTTTGTGTCTTGGTTAATTTTTTTAATTAATTGGCTTCATTTGATTGTTATTAATATATAAAAGCCTATCTCCCCTTGTGCCAAAGCTGAGGAAGGCAACTGGTCCCAAATTGTTGGGCAGTTAGCATGCATTGCTTATTAAATTGATATGCTCGGAAGTTCCAACCTCAGCCATTTCATCCTTCTCCGGCCACTAGACACAAAGAATGAGACCTGAATTTTTGGATGTAGTAATGTCAGAATTTATTTTGTTGTCCAGGGATTTCATTTTTTTTTCCTCCACTAGGGGGATATAGAAGGTAGAGAAAGCAGATGCTTGTTAATTAAACAAAAAATAATTTTTTTTAAAAAGACATATACCTTGACAGTGCAGAGCCTAAATTATGGTGAAACATCAATTCAGCAGAATCATGAACTATCTCATGTTTCGGTGTTTTAAGTACCAACCTCCTTTTCATCATTGTTCACTCACATCCAACTCTTCATGACCTTATTTGGGGTTTTCTTGGCAAAGATAACTGGAGTGGTTTGCTATTTTTTTCCTCCAGCTCATTTTATAAAGGAGGAAACTGAGGCAAATAGGGTTAAGTGACTTGTTGAGGGTCATACAGTTAGTCAGAATCTGAATCTAGATTTTAACTCAGGTCCTTCTGACTCCAGGTCCTCCTTTCTATCCACTGGGCCACCTACTGGCCCAGTTGTGTTGTTATACAGGTTATTATGAGGATTATTCCTTCATTTCTGAAAGGAAGCTAGGGGGTGTGGTAAATAACGTGCTGGAACTGGAGTTAAGGAAGACCTGATTTCAAATTCAATCTCAGGCAATTACTAGCTGGACTTACCTTCGGTTTGCCTCAATTTCCTCCACTCTAAAATGGGGATAATCAGAGCACCTATGTCCCAGGGTTGTTTGGAGTTCAAGACGATCAAATGATAAAATATTTGTAA